GGCACAGAATAACTTACTAGAAAAGTCAAGTCAGCAAGACATGAATTACCCATATTAAAAAAAAAAGAGAGAGAGAACTTGGATACTCAAGCAGGAGTTTTGTAGTCTGAACGAAATGGTAAAAAAACCCCTTCTTTTTCTAAAGCAAAACAAAACACACATTGTCATTGGCAGAACTCTAAAATGGCCAATACTCTACCCTATGGTGCTTGGGCCCTTATGATCCCCTAACCTGAAACCTGGATGGGGCCTGTGCATACCATGAATTTTACTCCCCTAATTGTTACATTTATATGGCAAAAGGGACTTTGCAGATATAATTATGGTCCCTAATCAGTTGATTCTCAGTTAATTAAAAGGGAGATTATCTTAGGTGTGCCTGATCCAATCATGTGAGTCCTTAAAAGAGATAAGCAGCAGTAGAGAATCCCCCACTGGCCTTTAAGAAACCTCAAAGGTCACCATGAGTTCTACAACCTCAGGGAACTGAATTCAACTAACCTGAAGAAGCTTGGAAGAGGACTGAGAGTTTCAGATCAGCACCCAGCCCTGGCCATAACCTTGGTTACAGCCTTGCAAGACCATGAGTAGAAAACAACCAGTTCAGCCCTGCCTGGTTTCTAAGGTACGGAACAGTGAGGTGATAGGTGTTTTTTTTTAGGTCTTTAGGTTTGTTGCAACTTGTTATACAGCAGTAGAAAACTAATATACACATCACTGACTGACTAAAGACTGTTAGAGGAGAAAGCCACTGATGTACCATTATGTAGAACAGCAGTTCTCAAAATGTGGTCCAGGGACTCCTGGTGGGTCCTCAAGACCTTTTCAAGGGTTCATGAAGTCAAAACTACTTTTGTAATAATGCTTAGATGAGTGGGAAAACTCATTCTCTCATGATTTTAGCGTTTTCTAGATGCTACATAATGTGATGGGATCCTCCAATAACTAATGGAATGCATCCTTGTGTATTCTTGTGTTTAAAAAAAGACAGTTTAAATTACTAATGTAGTAAATATTGATAAATAGGGCCTACATAAACAAAAATTCATCCAGGTACTCAATAATTTTTAAGAGTATAATGGGATCCTCAGACCAAAAGTTTGAGAATTATTGGTCTAGAAATGTAACTAGAGTAAGTGGGCGTAGACAAAGTCTGAAGGTGTAAGAATTTATATGTTTAGTTCATGTATGTCTACATTTTGTCCAGAACTATGGCAGGTCTGACCAAGGTAGAACAAGGATTTGAAAGTAGTATGAGATATATGGTCCACGAAGGCAAACAGAAAGAAATAATCAACAAAAGCACTCCTTTCCTCTCTGCGTGTTTCTAAGTACGAGGTATATTGCTGCATGATGGCATGTGACCCAGCGCCGACCCTAGGTATGCGTGGCTATGTCACACAGTATTTAGAGAAGTTGCTGAAACAAGGTATGGGGGACAGGAGAGATTTTCTGGGAGAGGTGAAATGTTAAGTTGGGAAAGAAGTGGAAGGAGGACAAATATTTATGGCAATATCCCTCAAGTCTAAGCTAAAATATCCCTTCCTTAGAGAGGCCTTTCCTGATAGTCCACCTTGAGCACCCAGCACCTTAGTCTACATCACAAAACCTTTTTCACTTCCTTTCTCGCACTTAAAAAAAAAACGAACATGACACAACTGTTAAGGTAAGTCTCACTGGAGCTAGAATGCTTTGGTTGAAATCCTAGCTCTGACACTTTCAAGTTATAAAATCTTGGGTAAGTTACTTAATCTCTCTATGCCTCAATTCCTAAAAAAATGTGCCCATAAAAAAATTTATGTTGAGAAGTTACCTAAGGTTGTGGCCATGGGACTGAAAGGGAAAGGGTGGAAATTAACTAGTTCAAAGGAAGAATCAATATGTGAATTCAGATGACAAGGACAGAAGATGAGAAGACAAGAAAATTCTGGGGATTAAAAAAAAAAAGGCAACCAATCATATGTAGATTAAGGGAAGAGAGTAAAAAATAAAAATTGTTCCTAAGTTTGTTGTTTGAGAGATGAGAGAGGCTAGCATTAGTTAACTTATTCTGGAGGGAAGATGGGGAGCTATGCCAAATCCTTGTTTCAGAGTGAGTTGGCAATAACAGCACAAGTGTAGACAATTTGTGTTTAGTGTGCTGGAGTGATGGGTCCTAACAGAAGAAAGTTCAGGGCAGACAAGGAAATTTGGGTGTCTGCTCACTGTCAGAGTTCAAATCATGGGGAAGAAACTCCATGGGCCCAAAACACTGAGCTGTAGGACAAGGACGATCTTCTCTTAACACTTATGATGACATCCTTATTGTGGATAAAAGGTGCTTTACGTAGAGCTATTAAGCTCCTTTTGGTGAGATGGGGCTAAGGAACTGCACAGTAAGGGGGCAGTACCTTTCTCCATTTTCATGTATTTTTGTAAGGTCAAACAATGTGTTTCAAACTGCTTTTATAAGGGGAAGCTTGGGTCATCTCCTTTCGAGAAAGGACCTCTTGGTATTATTTAAAATGTAATTACAAATTGTCCAACATTCCTCTTGTTGACAAGGTATCATAGCACTCCAAGTTCCTGGCTAAAGCTGCCTATGATGACCTTTGGAGGTCCTATTTGAAACAGACTTTCTAACCTGGCAAGCCGCTGAGACCCTTTAGGACAGCTGAACTGTAGATAAAAATCTTCCAGGGAAGTAGGTGTGGGCAGGATGTATGGTTTCCCTGTCTCTCATTTAAAGACTGATGAAATTAATTTTTCATGAACAGTCTCTTCCAGTAAAAGTTGCAGTTCAAGAGTGTGTCAAAAGAAATTGGAAAGGACAAGCTAGCTACTGATCTTCAGTTTGAGGCTAGAACACCCTTTCCAAATGCTATAGAAATGCACAGCAGAACTATGTCCCTACTGTAATCTCAAACCCGCCCCTTTGCTAGTGTGACCTTAATGACTTGCATTTGCCATAACAATATCACACAGCAGAGCATGGACTTGTTTACCAAATAATCTGAAACTTAGCAAGAAGGCATGATGACATGGGCCTCAGCCTGGCTCTGAATGTGTGTACAGCATCCTGAAACAGGAAGGTATTTCCAAGCTTGTAGTGATATAACACTTGCAGATTCTTTCTCTGACATTCCAGGCTAACCACTGTCTACATTCAGGCTCTGCAAAACATTTGAGACATATGTTTCTGGAAAAAATCATGGCATGTTTTCTACAACTCTCCATGGCCTAAGCATTTTAAGCTCTGGCCCATCAGGAGCCTCTGCAGCAGGATTGCCTGTGGGGGCCTGGGGAGGCTGCCCTGGTGCACAGACGGGCATTAACTGAACTGAACACAGTCCAGTTTCACTCATCAATTGTTTACCTAGTGCCACTGAGGAACAAATTACAGAGCAGAGAAAAATTCAAAGATGAATAAAATACACTGCTGTCTCTAAAAGAATCTCTCTTCTCCCTAGTAAAGTAGAGGCTTATTTCATCTCAGCTTCTGGTTGAACTACATAATATGCTGTCTGATATTCCAGGCCTTTATGTCAGGAGAAACAGAGACAGTGCCTGATATTTGAGAATTAAAGTCAAACCATGATGGACTACTTCTTGGCTGCCCCCTGGCCACTAAATCCAGATACAAGCGCTCTCACTGTTCTGGTTGTCTTGTGCCATGCTTTTCTCTGGACAAAAACCTAGGAAAATGTTCTGATGAGAAAGGCACCCACTTTATTCAGAAAAGGAGATTTCCTAAAAGAACATGAAGGGCTACATCAGCCTCAGAGTTTTGATTTTACATCAGCTTGGGTGATGATGCCTCTTTTCACTAAAAGTCAATCTCTTCATTAATTTCTTACCATTTTTTAAATTAGATTTATACTTATAATAAGGTTTGAGAGGAAAAAATACTCAAGAGGGCCTTGTCACTGTTGTCTTGCTAAAGAAGTAGAGCTTGGAGGAAGGGGAATGGAGTTCCTGTTCACTGAGGAGCTACCTGGCCGGGCCCTGCACTAGGTGCTGCCCTTAGTTGGAGTTGACATGGCATCATTAGAGCACAGATTCTCATGCAGGACCAGCTACGTAATTTGTGAAGTCCGGTGCAAAATAAAATGCAGATCCCTTGTTCCAAATACATTAAGAAATTCAAGAGACTGATAGCACAGTGCTAAACCAAGTGTGGGGCCCTCCTAAGCACTGGGTCCTTACATGATTGCACAGGCCATGTACCTGTGAGGCTGTCTGCATTTAAGCCAGGCTGCCTGGGCTGGAATTCTGGTTTTGCTATCTACTAGTCATGTGACCTTAAACAAGTCATCTGTAAAATAAGGATGATAACAGTTCCTACCTCATCGAGTTGTTATTAGGATTAAATTAATATTTGACAAGCACTTAGAAGAATACCTGGCATACAGCAAACACTTAGATAAATGTTTACTAAATATACACTGTACCGAGCCTAAACATCTCAAACGGCGAGAGTCAACTTGAGCCATGACGTTGTGAACTTACTAAAATGTTTTTTTAATGCTCTGTGAATTTGAATTCCTGATAAACAGCATGTTTTTATTACAATGACAGCAGTAGGCTTTTAATTTATTTTTTTAGCAATTAGACAACAGATTTTAAAAAATTCTGGATTGAGACTGGTTACTCACAAAGCAAAACTGAAGAAAAGATACTTGGTTTATGCTCAAAGTTCTAGAAGCCTATGAAGTGGAAACTGTCATGAAGCCAATTTAATACAACTACTTACTTTATGCTGAAAGGATTCACTAGGGAATTCACTGCTTCCATACAGGAAATGTAGCCTGTTGTGTCTGAACAAAAACTGAGAAATGTCTTTCTTTCCTTTTTACAATACAGAATACTATAAAAGAAAAGCTGCAGAACAGGAAACGTTTCTAATCAAATTCTATATTTAGTTCTAGAAAAAAATATTACTAAAACAAGGCAGAAGATATAATACAGGTAGTGACAGATTCTTTTATATAGAAAAGAAATTTGGTACACAGAGACATAAATATTTAATGGCTTGTTAATTTTTTTAAATAAGAACACCTTCATTTTATTTGGGCTACTTATACATTTTTTTACTCCTGACCACCAATAATTCTCAGGGCTTTCAGAAACCTTTACAATGGACATGTAGCTCCCCCCTCCCTGATTATAATTAATATCGTTGAATGAAAAGAAGTAAGTTGTCATTCATCAAACAATTCGCCCAAGGTACACAGATTTGGGGTATTTCTCCTTAAGAGTTGGCCACTGAACAATGAAGTAATCGGAGAGGTGAAAGAGAATCTTTCCAGACAGGGATAAATGTTCTACTCGGCAGATGCTTTCAACATAGACAATGATCACTTTCTTTATTCCTAGTATCCCAAGGAGAAGGGCAGATATACAGATAGGAACACATGTTCCTGGTCCATTACACAACACCTAAAAAAAAAAAAAAAGGTTGAAGGTCAAATTAAAATGTGGAATACTAATCTAAATGAGGCATTTTAAATCAAAAAGTCATATCTTAGAGGGGATTTCTTATTATTCTAAGTGTTGAATTACTCCTTGTCAAGATCCAGTAAGTGGCAAACCCATGCACTTGGGAGCCAGGCAGGGATGTGCTGGCTCTCTTGCTAACCAGCTGTGTGACTTGACACAAATCACTTAACTTCCCTGGGCCTGGGCGGCCCCGCCTATGCTACAGGACGCGTCTAGCACAGTGACTGGTGCTCAGCCAGCACCCCCTGGACGGGCGTGTGTTGCTCTTCTCCTACTGCTTGTGGATCTTGGAATGTCACCAATCTGTATGTGATACAATGATTTATAAGATATATTTGGTCTTAATCCAGTTCCTGAAAATGCTTCAGAGCCGTAAAGGAGAATGTCTTGTTATGTTAATGAGGCGGCTCTTGGGCCCCACTGAAGGGTAGGGGCTGGTTGCCAGAGGCACCAACCATGTGATTAGATTGACCTCTCAGCTTCCAGCCCCCAACCCCTGCAAGAGGAGAGGGCAGAGGGGCTGGAGGTTGAATCAGCCAGTGGCCAATGACTTAGTCAATCATGACTTACAGAGAAGCCCTCACAAAAACCCAGAAGAAGTGCATTTCATTCCATTTTGCATCTTGCTTCGCTGTCCGGAAGAGAGCTTCCATGCTTGGGGAACCAGAAGGGATTTCCATGTGCCAGGGAGCCAGGCCCCAAGCTCTACGAGGATAGAAGCTCCTTTACTTGGGATCTTGCCCTATTATTTCTTCATGTGGTTATTAACTTGTATCCTTTATAGTAACCTTTATTAAACTGGTAAATGTTAAGTGCTTTCCTGAGTTCTGTGAGCTGCTCTAGCAATTAATCAAACCTAGAGAGGAGGTCATGGGAACCTGCAATCTGTGGTGGATCAGAAGCACAGGGAACTGCCTGGGGCTTGCAGCTGGTGTCTGGAGTGTGTGTGGTGAAGGTCAGTCTGTAGGAATGAGTCTTTAACCTGGGGAATCTGGTGTTGTCTCTGGGCAGTAAGTGTCAGAATTTTCAGACACCCCTGATGGTGTTTGAGAATTCTTTGGTGTCATGTGTGGGAAAAATGCCTTCCTCTTCTGCCCCCTCTCTCCCAACATACACAGATTGGACTGGGGTCCAAGAACATGAATGGACTATAGAAAACAGATAAAGCTAGCTGTGATTCATTGTTTTCTCATGTACCAACTTGCTCATGTTTAAAAATCTTAAATAGTTGGAGCATCACATGTTAATACATAGAAGAAATGTCTTTAAATGATTAATTATGTAGACGATTTTTTGTGGGATGCAGGATTGTTTTAAGAGTTCAATCCAACAAATAAATGGGATATTCAAGCCAAGCTTACAAAATGAGATTCTCCCTCAAGACAATTTAATTTATGCTTGTATTACAGAGTTTTAATGCTTCTGAATTCTGCTAATTTTTATAGAAAGTCACTGCTTAAAAACAACTTAGTTGGTAAACCTAATAAAAAAAATTCCACTCATAGAGCTGTTTTTATAGATCTTAAATGAAAATGAGAGAGAAACTAATTCATGGAATTGTTGGTAAGATAACATTATTTTCAAAGGGAGAAAACATTTACACATCTCAGTAAGCTCATGCTGAGTGAATTAATAAACCTTATAAAGCATTTTTTACTCCACAAATCATAAAACAGGATTTGTAGCTATCTACACAAGTCAATGCTCACATGATCTTCCCAGCACAAGGTCCGTAAAACTTACCAGACATCAGAGAATCTTAGAGTTGAAAGGGTCCTCCGATACACTGTGTTACCATCCTTTAAACTGGTTATTTCAGGGACTATTCCCAACAGACAGACAGACAGAGCCTATCAAGGCTGTAAGACATGGTTAGGGCTTAGGGATCTGATAAGGGTCATCTGATCTAGGGTTTGCTCTTCCTAAGGTGTGACCATGTGGAACACCACCCACAGAGGTTTGGGAAGAGAGAGGGTAGCCTGTTTCAGGTGGGAACCAATCTTTGTCTTGCTTAAAGCTCCTATCTACACTTTAAACTTGCTGCCTGTCTTTTATGAAGAACTTTTGTTCACACATTCTCTTGAATTGCCAGCTAGTAAACTACTCTCCAGATGAGTTTTCTTTCATCCCCACTGAACTGCCTCTATAACTTTTCTTTATAGACTGTCCAGGCAGCATAATAGGAAGAAAATGAGACTGAAGTCAGGGGAACCTGGTTAAACGAGCACGGAACTAGCTCTGTGACCTTGGGCAACAACCGTGATGATAATCACCACCTTGGCCCTCACTGGTTGCTGGCAGCTCACTGCGGCCAGGTACCATACTCAACATTTCGCATGTATTATATGACTTAATTCTCACAGCAATCGATTCAGACAAATTTTAACCCTTTTTGCAGAAAAGGAAACTGAGGCACAGAGATTAGGCAAGGTGCTTGATCAGTGTTCAGGAGGTGGAGTTCCACTGCTTCAGGTCACTTTTTCCTATATGACTCAGTTACCATATATAGACAATAGACTGAATTAAATGGCTTTCTCTGTCAGCTCCAGGATTCTATAATTCTGACTCTAATTTGCCTCTCATTTTGTCTTAAACCAGAATTACAAAATTGTTCTGAATCCCTTCAGGATTTAGAATTCCAAAAATCCTATTAATGCAAGGTTTCTCAACAGTGGCATTATTGCCATTTTGGACTGGATTATTTTTCTTTGTGGGGGCCTGTCCTGTGATGTTCAGCAGCATCCCTGGCCTCTGCCCACAAAATTCCAGTAGTTAAGACAATCAAGAATGTCTTCAGGCATTGCCAAATGTCTCGGTTAAGAACCACAATATTAATATATTTCCCAGTCTTTGGAGTATTTATGTTGCTTTTCTTGATCTTCTTTTTTCCATAGTACAGACAAAATTAAACCTACAGTTAAAAAGTAATGTAAAGATTGCTTGTTGGATCTTGAAGGTCACATTTGTTGTCTTTTAAAGAAGTTTACAATATCCACCTGTGTTCATTTCAGTATCTGATTGGTTTTCTGTACACACAAGTTGGGAATACACTCATAGAGCTCTCTCTCTACAGGAAGGGAAATGACTGGGTATTGGTGCAAGATGCATTAGCAACTGCCACAGACCAGAAGCAGAGACTGTTAAGGTAAAAGTGGAAATTAAAGGCATTTTATTTGTTTATCTGTGTTGCATCTCTATTTTGAGGTATCTTACTACAAAAGTCCCATGTACAATAACATGATCAAACAATAAACCAAGTATTTTTTAAAAAAGCCAACTAATCTCAAGGAAAACTTGGGCTAAGGAAGGCTACTTTTAATTAAGCACAGGTTTTAACTCTGAGTTTTATAGCAGACTAGGCAAAAAATTTAAAAATTGTGGATTATGGAGGTTCCATTATTTAAAGCAGCATACCAGAGAGACTTATTCCAAGAGTCGAACAAAACAGAATTTACTGAGACAGCCTGGGTAAAGAAGATGCTAAATAATATGATGGTTTGAGTTGTCTTTTTAATTTTCTAAGAAGCACAGAAATGCTGCTCATATTTCTACTTCTTAAAATATAAATTCTCAGTAAACGTGGGCACAAGGCCCTCATGACTGCTCTTCCTCACTACTCTGTGAACTACGTGTGAGCAGCGTCTGCTTCTAGAACAATCGGTACTCTGCGCCTGGGACAAAACAGGCACTCATTACATTTTGCCGAAAGGGAGAAGGAAGGAAAGGAAGGAATAAGGGGGTCAGGGAGAAGGCAGTCCGTTGCTGTAGTATATGGAGTCAACTGTCCCTTTGCCAGACTCAACTTGGTAACTCTGTCATACATACGCATCCTAAACATAACGGCTGTAATTGACAGCTTTTTTTTTTATAACTATTCCACATCCACTCATGGGAACCACTTTCAATGTAAGTGCTTGAGTACAGCTGACTCCCCAGTATAAGGAGAAGACATGTGGCTCCAGCCTGGCCACCCCGAGTACTGAATTCCCCTGGCACAAGTCATTTGTTCAGGGAAGAGCACACAATCCAGTGAGAAACCACAGGACACTGTGGTGGGGTATTTGTTGGGGCTGCTGAGAAAGCAGGGCCTTTCTGGTGTCCTGGAACCTAGAAGGCCTGGCCCTGTTAACATCTGTTTTGCCACCATTTGGAGAGCTTGAGAATGAAGCCATCACAAAGCAGCACAGAGCAGAGCTGAGAGACGAAGACAGGCCAGGCCCCAAAGGTAGCATTTACGATCCACGAATCCAGCTGTGCCTGAAGGAAACCAGATCTACTGCTAGACTTGCCAGGTATGTGAGGGAATATATTCCAGTTTTGCTTGAGCCAGTCTGAATCAGGACTTCTGTCACTAGCAATAAAAAGCATCCTAACTGACACAGCCCTTTATTTTGTCTAACTCTCTGACTAGCCTCTGACCATCTGCAGTGCCAACTGATAGGTGGTCAATATGTGCCTGTTGGATGAATTAACAAATGAATAAATAAACTTCTCTGGGAGCAGGAAATCCAAGAGACTTACTAAAGATAATGTAAGTCATGAGTCTAGGAAACAGAAGAGGTCAGGGCTAACAAAAACATGAAGTCATGAGGGTAGATGAGCCCAATCAGGGATCAAGAATAATTACAGGAGGATTGTTGTTCTGTAGACTTGGGTCACCACAGGTCAAGTTCTGTTGGCTGAAACATAACATTGGCATGCATGAAAAGACACACTTTGCTTGTGTAGTCTGAACTCAACTCTAAGCCTAGTAGGAGCATCATACACAGAATACAGGCCAAGATCTTTGGAATCCAGGGTTGGTTGAAGGTCAGACACTATGAAGTTGGGGGTGATTCAAGAGAGAGCACATGAAGGTGAGACTGAAAGCCAGATGGGGTGCAATTTGAAGAGACTGGAAAGAGAGAGAGAGTTCAACTCTGAAGCACTGACCTGAACAC